TTTTCTCACAATGGAAAACAGAATCAAGCAATCTAAGGCTGTTGCTTTCCACAAAGTGAAGTCAGACCGACACCCACTTCATGAGGAATTATTCTAGCAAAAAAAGATTAGACTTAAACGAGGCAAATCCTGGATGGGTAGCGCAGAGGACGCCATCGAACATATTTGCCACCTTACTGACATTGAATTTGGAAAATGAACCTATGTCTCCTGTTCCAAACAATAACATTACAGTCCACACCACACTTGATGGAAGCTGTAGAGAGCAGATTGCTGGCATTGTGGACTCTTTAGTCAGAACACTGTCTTATCATCAGTTCTCTTTATGCCTAGTGACACATGACTTTCTATGCTTTCCAGTCCTGTGCAATTTTCAGTGCAGTTTTCCATGTCAGAGATGCCGCACTCAGGTCACTTACCATCGTTCGTCTCTTTGTTGTTTTAAGGCGCCCCTTCTTTCTCTTTCCCTCTGGTATCGATATGCGAGTTGTTTTGGCAGGTATATCAGGATTTATTCTCATAAAGTGGCCAAGCCATTTCCATCTTCTCTTGGTTATCATACTATCTATAGTTTCTTGGTTGTGACTTAAAGTAGTTTAGTGTTTGAGATTGTATCTGGCCAGAAAATGTTGATAATTCTACGTAGACATGTGTGGTGGAAGGTGGACAGCTTTTGTGTATCCTTTCTGGTCATTCTCCAGCATTCACTAATCAGGCCGAAATTCTGGATTTAGAACAGTGTTCCCCGAAGTCGGGCTCATGCCCACGGGGCGGGAGGGGGGGGGGGGGATTCGAAAAATTCGTCCAAGGTTTACGTTACTATGGGTTGTATAAGAATTTTAGAAAGGCTTCTGTGGGGCATGGCACGAAAAAATAAAAACACACACAAACAGTTTGAAAAAACTGATTCAGAGGGTTGTGACAATGTTCCAGAAGAAGATAAGATGGCTATTTTTTTTTTAAATATAGAATTTTGTACACTTGAAAAAAAATAATTTTTTTTTTTTTTTGCATCCAAAAAAAAAAAAAAAACTGAAGACAACCCTGAAAATAAACCCGAGTGCATTTATAAAATCAAAAACGAATATAAGACCCCTTCTTATTTTCGGGGAACAAAGTAATAGGTACAAAGAAATGTCCTGGGAAATAAATACGATCAACGTTATGCGACCATATTATCCATCAAGCCTCGATTGGTTTTTAAATCGCTAAGCTATAACCAGATGTCCGCTGCACCACTGTTAGGCTAGAACCAGATGTCCGCTGCACCACTGTTAGGCTAGAACCAGATGTCCGCTGCACCACTGTTAGGCTAGAACCAGATGTCCGCTGCACTACTGTTAGGCTAGAACCAGATGTCCGCTGCACTACTGTTAGGCTAGAACCAGATGTCCGCTGCACTACTGTTAGGCTAGAACCAGATGTCCGCTGCACCACTGTTAGGCTAGAACCAGATGTCCGCTGCACTACTGTTAGGCTAGAACCAGATGTCCGCTTTACCACTGTTAGGCTAGAACCAGATGTCCGCTTTACCACGGTTAGGCTAGAACCTGATGTCCGCTGCACTACTGTTAGGCTAGAACCAGATGTCCGCAGCACTGCTGTTAGGCTAGAACCAGATGTCCGCTGCACTACTGTTAGGCTAGAACCAGATGTCCGCAGCACTGCTGTTAGGCTAGAACCAGATGTCCGCTTTACCACTGTTAGGCTAGAACCAGATGTCCGCTGCACTACTGTTACACTGGAACCAGGTGTCCGCTTTACCACTGTTAGGCTAGAACCAGATGTCCGCTGCAGCACTGTTAGACTGGAGCCAGATGTCCGCTTTACCACTGTTAGGTTAGAACCAGATGTCCGCTGCACCACTGTTAGGCTAGAACCAGATGTCCGCTGCACTACTGTTAGGCTAGAACCAGATGTCCGCTTTACCACTGTTAGGCTAGAGCCAGATGTCCGCTGCACTACTGTTAGACTGGAACCAGATGTCCGCTGCACCACTGTTAGGCTAGAACCAGATGTCCGCAGCACCACTGTTAGGCTAGAACCAGATGTCCGATGCACCACTGTTAGGCTAGAACCAGATGTCCGATGCACCACTGTTAGGCTAGAACCAGATGTCCGCTGCAGCACTGTTAGACTGAAACCAGATGTCCGCTTTACCACTGTTAGGCTAGAACCAGATGTCCGCTGCACCACTGTTAGGTTAGAACCAGGTGTCCACTCCACCACTGCTAGGCTAGAACCAGATGTCCGCCCCACCACTGCTAAGTTAGAACCAGATGTCCGCCCCACCACTGCTAAGTTAGAACCAAATGTCTGCAGCACCACTGCTAAGCTAGAACCAGATGTCCGCCCCACCACTGTTAGGCTAGAACCAGGTGTCCACTCCACCACTGTTAGGCTAGAACCAGATTCCGCTGCACCACTGCTAAGTTAGAACCAGATGTCCGCCCCACCACTGCTAAGTTAGAACCAGATGTCTGCTGCACCACTGCTAGGCTAGAACCAAATGTCTGCAGCACCACTGCTAGGCTAGAACCAGATGTCCGCCCCACCACTGCTAAGTTAGAACCAGATGTCCGCCCCACCACTGCTAAGTTAGAACCAGATGTCCGCCCCACCACTGCTAAGTTAGAACCAAATGTCTGCAGCACCACTGCTAGGCTAGAACCAGATTTCTGATGCACCACTGCTAGGCTAGAACCAGATGTCTGCTGCACCACTGCTAGGCTAGAACCAGATGTCCGCTGCACCTCTTCTAGGTTAGAACCAGATGTCCGCTGCACCTCTTCTAGGTTAGAACCAGATGTCTGCTGCACCACTGCTAGGCTAGAACCAGATGTCCGCCCCACCACTGCTAGGCTAGAACCAGATGTCCGCTGCACCTCTTCTAGGTTAGAACCAGATGTCTGCTGCACCACTGCTAGGCTAGAACTAGATGCCCGCTGCACCTCTTCTAGGTTAGAACCAGATGTCCGCTGCACCTCTTCTAGTTTAGAACCAGATGTCCGCTGCACCACTGCTAGGCTAGAATCAGATGTCCTATAAATAACTATAAATCGTAAACGTTTCCTATCGTCTCCTGTCCAGTTATCTATTACATAAAATAATTTATCGGAACTGTTATTTAAACCTCTTCTACCTAATCTTAATGTAATATTACGAAAAATGACTGGTGACCAGCATGCATTTGGGCAGTATATGGAAAGCGTGCACCAGGCATGACTTCCTCATATTCTTATAACGTTCTAACGAGTGTGGCCAATAGTACGAGAGATTTGAAATTGTTGTATAATCAAGTATGATCTTTGTGTACTAGAAGCAAAAAAAAAAGAGGGGGTGTCTTGTAGTGGCGGAAAAGGGGAAGAGATAGCTACAAAGGATAATATGAAAATCTACTCCTTGAAATCTCCTCGACTCCAAACCTACAAGAGTTCTTAACAATGTCACGTGGCGAGTGAAAGCCACAAACCAACCTACAGCTGCCCCCAGTAACAAGAAAAAAAAGTTCTTTTAGGTGGGGGAGAGATCAATAATATCTCACCCAGGCAAGAAATCTTCTCTGTAAAGTCTAGATCAGCCAAATAACAAATAAAAACTAAACTAGACACACTAACTACAAGTCCTAAGCTGAAGGAAAACAACTGGAACTATGATTACTACACTGAACACCTGTTTATTTTACTCAACATAACACAGAATTAACATATACTTCACGAATAACCCAGTAACGACAACAACGTGCTCGACTAGAATCTAAAATATATAACCTATATACCTGCTGACTGGCCCATTGTGCAAATCAGCAGTCGCTAGATAAGTCTACACAGAAAGCGTCCGGAAGTCAAATAGGCTGAAACTCAGTCAGTCCGGTCTTTAAATACCCAGTGCCTGATTTTTCCCCATCTTCTGTCTAACACTAATAACTGGTAATGTTTCTCCTTTGGCCTGCTGGCCATTTTTAAACCAGAATAAATCCAAGATCTTCAGGCTGCTGAACTGTGTTTCCAGCCTGTTACATTTGAACAAAAGACATCTGAAACTTGACAGTTATTTAGTAGGACACCTGGTGGAAACATTTGAATTTATTTTTGTCATTTATTAAAGCACGCGATAGAAAGATGTCCGAACCAAAGTTTACCATTGAGTAGAAAACTCCAAACGAAGTCTCGATTAACTGTATCACCCCTGTATTGAGAGTTGACTGATTCGTGGCAGCGATTTTCTAGACACTGCATCTCTGGGAGTCACCAAATCCAAGATCTCTCGCCAGCTCATTCTGAGCCCATCGAGGTTATTATCCCTGGTGCACGACGTGGACGTATGGCAGGGGTCTTGCACGAGGTTTTATACAGACAGTACAGAGGATACTGGCGCCCTAGGTGAGGTATGGTGTATCTTATTATACAAAGCAGAGCGATCCCAACTTTCCCGCAAACTACTGATCAAAGTTAGTGCACCATATTCGTTTTTTAGAACATCTTCTAAAAGCGTCAGCAATATCTCAGTTAAATCTGATTACCTTTGGTTTTCAACAATTTTGAATAGTTCCTATAATTGGTAAAAACGTCATTTTCTTTTGTATATCGACATCTCAAGTGCCTTAGTTGGACTTTAGCAATTCCTCGAACAACATCTTTCATTATGTGATGTTATGTTCTGTTTGTCGTTGTTGGTCTGCTGATGAAGGTTAATCACCGCAACGTCCATTTGTCGTTTAATAACTGAGATCAGATAAAGCCAACAAGTGGCAAGGTTGACTTCTTGTTTGTTTTGTCGTTTTAGAACATCTTTCAGGAGTTTTACAGTATCTGCTCGCGTGATTTCTGGGATACGACATTCTCGGTTTGAAAAATTCGCGTATAAAATGAAACGCGCATCGCGGCCCGCGCAATTACCGACCACGTCTCACAATCGACACCTCAAGTCGCGCTGAGAACGTCGCTCAAAGTCACTACATTTCCTTTGTTTTTTGAATTACTAACACAGCAGATTTCACAATGGTAAGGTTTTCTTTTGTGTTTGTGTGTTGTCACAAATAATTGGTGTGTCGTTTGTTGGTCAGTAAAAGTTAGTTAAAAGAGAGCCGGGCTTGGACACCGGTCGCCGCCATTGCTGTGTGTGGGTATGTTTTAAATCCACAGAATCCACGGTTTATTTGAAATACTTACACGACAGATAATAAAGGCAAGTTTTGCCGTGTTTATTTGTCATTAGTAATATACGTTTATAACTTGACTCTCACTTCAGTTCACTTGTAGCCTGTCATGAGACATAGCGGACGACGCCGGTCGCCGCCATAATGGGGACATTTTAAATCTTTCAAGATTTTTGACTGAAAATGTGCAGGTTTATTTAGGCTTCCCTGGAAACTATATCAAACGAAAGCAGTCAGTACATATTCATTTAACCCTGACATGAGAACATACCGTTCACTATATTTTAATAGTGATGATGGTTTCACCCACTTTAACAAACACCACTGTAGTTTGTCTGCCCATCCTAGCATCCCATCCCATAACTTTACTGTGTGAATCATCCTGATTATACTAGGAAGGAAATGAACTCCCATGTTTTGAGTACTGTACGACAGAGAACAAACTATTGGGGAAAGAACCTGTGTGAGGTCATTAGAAATGTGAGGAAAATCAGGGCTCCCATCAAATATGGTGACTAGGTGGGAGAGCTGGTAACAAAGCTAGTCTAGACTGATGATTAGTCACCCAGGGCGGGGAAAACCCATGATCTCATCTAAATCTAGCACAAATTGACACCACCTGTGTGGTGATTCATCAGTTGTGGTTGACGTTGTCCTCAAATACAATATTGATCAGATATGAAGATCATAACTTTTATTATTGGGGTGTCAAGTAAGAGTAGATAGGTACTTTACCTTTCTTTACTTTACTTTGTTCTTTTTCAAACTTCTTATTACTTACAATCAATTAATTTGTTCTTCTTTGTTTATTTTATCTTGTTTAATTGTAAGTTTTTGTGTTTAATAATCATTAATTAGTTGACTTTGAGGAGTTAAAATAATATTTCTGTGGGACAGGAGTGAAAGAATTTAGGAAGTGTAACAAAAGGATGGGTTGCAAGTAAGTATATGATAACTGATAAACTATATGTTAGTTGTGAGCAGACAAAGCTAGCATGTCAGTTGATTAATTGGCAGAGAGCCAGACAAATGTGCTACATTTGTTGCATTGTATTTAGATGTGTAGGTCAATTTTAGACCGTTGTATAGATATGCTAGTGAAGAGAAAAGTTTCAAAAGTCATCTGCCCTACACCTGACTTTGAGAGTGAGCTCAGTGAAGCTCCCTTAATGTTGGTTCATTTTAAAACTTACCGTGCGTGAGGCAAACACTATAGAAAAGAAGCATTACACCACAGCTTTTTCGCTTGAGTGGTCTAATGGTTTTGTACTTCAGTCTCAATTTCTGGATTTCTCTGTCTCTGGCATGTCAGTTTTCACCTTATCCCCACTTTGTGGGCTAAATTTCAGCATGTTAACTATGTGCTACAGACTCCCGAGGTGGGTTCTAGATGTCCCATTTTGGGAGGGGTTAGGGGAGATTCCCAATGGCTCTTTAACAAACAAGAAATAACAAACAAAAATTTGGGGTTTGCCGAAATCAGATGTGGGTTTGAAAAGGCATACATCATGGCCTGAGTCAAACCAGACACCAAGACTTCAGCTAGGTTTACACAGGGGTAAAAAATATGGTTCGTGAGGCCAGAGCACCTGCATAGAAAGGTCTTTAATACAGTAAAACTGGCAGTGATCCGTGAGCCACTTGCTAGGCATCCATGGGCCATCAGTTGAATAGCATTGCACTAGAAAATAATAGTTGTCAGGGATGATGCAAGGGGCCCCCCCCCCCCCCCCCCCCCCCCCAAATGTGTGTACACCTTGTTGCTTAGCTATGCACAGTTCGCTCAGTGTTTATTTAACCATCACCCAGTTCACTGTGGCGTTGTCTATTTTGTTGTTGACTGTACATGAGTGTCACATTTTGGTCTCTTCACCCAGCGTGAGTGCATCTCAGTCCATGTTGGCCAGGCTGGAGTCCAGATTGGTAACGCCTGCTGGGAGCTGTACTGTCTGGAGCATGGCATCCAGGTTTGAATCACTCTTGTTTTTAGATTTTAAATTCCAGTTTCTGGCTTAAAATGTATATATTTTCTATTTGTTTAAATTCTCATAAAAGTATAAGTTAAATATGAGATTAAATATTGCAATATATTAAGCAGTAAATGCAACACTGAACACTTTATCAGGTACAGGTGATTTTATGTGGTTGAGATGTTTTATAGACAAATGAAAATGTATTGGACAAAGAGTAATGAAATCTTGAGGGACAAAAATTGATTACCCTCATCAGCAGAAAATAAATGTCTTGAGACAGCAGGAAAGTTAGAGAGGAGAAGATGCAGAAGGAAACTTGAGAGAGAAGATGTTGTAGTTGACTCAGCAGTGAAGGTCATGTGTTAAATAAATGATTAGAAAGACATAAGGCCATCAATGTACATGACTAGAAGCGCAGTACGGCCTGGGCTATAAACCAGCATATTGTGGATTTTTTTTTTTTTTTTTTTTTTTTTTAAATAAAAGCTTGTGTATTACCTGCAAAAATACAGAGCCTTGTCTTATTATCACAAGTCTTTGATGCATTAATTTAATGAAACCAACTAAGTAAAGGACCTTTATTTACACCTTCAGACTATATATGGCTAGACCTTTTTTTTAGACCAGTCGACACTTAGTGGGTAATGTGGTTTGCATCATGCCAGCCGCCAGGACTTGTACCTGGTACCCACTCAAGGTTGGGTTGACCTGGAAGCCAAGGTCATTTTTGAAATGACTCCACCAGAACCCACAACCTTTTGATCCTCAGGAATGTCCAGCCGCTAGACCTCTGTTGCTTCCCAAACCAACTGTTCTGACATAGAATTTTTCTTGTTTCCAGCCCGATGGTCAGATGCCATCGGATAAGACCATTGGTGGTGGGGATGATTCCTTCAACACATTCTTCAGTGAAACTGGATCAGGCAAACACGTTCCCAGGGCTGTGTTTGTAGACCTGGAACCTAATGTTGTCGGTGAGTGACTGGTTATATCCTAGTGTTTGTGATAAGATGCGCAACTAATTCATCTTTAAATTCTCTAGCTTTATACAAAATCATGGGAATTAGAGAGACAGGGGCCAGAATGAGATGCACAGCCGTAATTTCCCCGTTTACAGCCCCTTGGATGTGAAGAAAATGCAGACTAAGCAAAAATTGCGAGCAATACCGTACAACCAGACGCAGGATACACTTATGAAGAATATAAAACTGATCAGGGCAACCATTAGAACGCATTGAAACACTTCCTCCCATTGTCTTGTTTCTGTAAGCTCTAGTTTGGAGAACAAATTATAGACCTACTGCCATTCAACAAGCATGTCGTAGGACCTGACTAATTAGGGGTAATTTTTTTAATTTAAAGAGTCCGAATGATCTGTCTGTGAGGCAAGGAACTAACAGTCTGCTTACAAATGTCAGATCTGTAAAACAGATTAGCATGCAAGGCTCAAATTTTGGAGCAAGACTCAAGTTTAGAAGTGGACATAAACAGAACTTTCTACCAGATTTTACAACCGGTGGACTTGAAGGAGAAGACAGTTGAGCAGTCTAGCGTTATCGTTTTCAAAGTGTTTAGTGTTGCAAAACTATAACTTGTAATTGAATTTGCAGATGAGGTTCGAACAGGCACCTACAGGCAACTGTTCCACCCAGAACAGCTCATCACTGGCAAAGAGGATGCAGCCAACAACTACGCTCGTGGTCACTACACTGTTGGCAAAGAGCTCATTGACTTGGTCCTCGACCGCATCCGAAAACTTGCTGACCAGTGCACCGGTCTACAGGGCTTCCTCATTTTCCACAGGTACCAGCTGTACTTGTTGTTGTACTGAACAATTTTTTTTCTAGAATATTTAACCGTAAAAAAAAATTGTTTTGCCGTACATGGTTAAGTTTTAAAGTAACATAAAGTAACATATAGTTAGTGATTGTCAACTAGTAGTAACAGTGTTTTCAAAATAAGGGAAATATTTTGCATCAATCTGAAGACAACTGTCATAATTGCATCTTTCGGCAGAGACATTGGACTTTGTGAGGCATTTCTTGCCCGGCATGGCTTTTCCATTTTCATGGGCCATTGCACAGCCTCACCGTTTTAGTGACATCTTTGTCTCCTTGTCCTTAAAGGTTGCCCTCCATGAGGCCATTCCAGAGCAGCCAAATAATATTCAGCCATGAAAGCAATCTTAAAAATAACATGGTATCACATGCCGGTTGAGTTAGGGTTGATCATGCTTCTGCAGAACTATTGATTCTTAAACATTGGTTCCTAATCGGGAGTAGCTAGTCTGATCTATGCTGGGCCTTTTGGGTGAACTCAGTCGATCCAGACAACTCTGAATATCAAGAGATTGAGTTTGAGAGGGTGTGCTACCAAGACAGTAGACATTGTGTTCTGGTATTCTTATTATTTATGGCTTTGCATTTTTCAAAACATCACTTTTGGGGGGGGGGGGGGTGTCTAAATTTTGCCCCCAGAATTCCTCTGCTGAATCCAAATCCTTGGGAAACTTTCTGGTTCAGTACTTTATTTTGTCAGTGTCTACTTTATGTCACAATGTGTTGCACTTTAACAGATGATAGGTAGCGGCAAGGCTTGTAGGCTGTGATTTTTTAAGTCTTGTTATTTTATGTTCCGGCTCTAACCTCTGGCTTGTGACGATCCACATTTTCACAGGTTTGGCCCCCTGAGTTAAATAGCCGTGTCTTAGGTTGTCAGTGACTCCTTTGATCCATCTGTTGTGTCCCTCTGCCCCTTGATGGGGTGTCCATTTTCATGTTGTAGGTAGGCTCTTGCTATTGGTGGCATCATTGCATTTATTACACTGGATGTTCTAACCATTTATTTTTGTTTCTCAGCGAATTAAATGTTGCGCGTTGTTCTATCACTGTCGGGGGTTAATTTGGTTTGATGTAGCATGCAAGATTTCTTTTCTGTCAAAACAGTACTATTGCATTAAATGTAACTAAAATGCAATATAATTTCCTAGCCAGAGTAATCATTTATGCCTCTTGTCTTCCATTAGAACAAAGACTCATGACTATCTGTTTGTAGACGATTAGGACTTTGCAGCTAAAACTTTGTTTTATGAGGTAGTCAACTCCCCTTAGTCTATTATGCCACGTATGGCAAATGATTACACAGTTGCTGTTGATTCCTTGCAGTACCAGGGACTGGATTGATCACTAAAGTAAGCACTACTTATCACTTGAGTCTGATTTCTAACATTCAGATTAGTACTCTTGATTTCCTTTGAAGTTGTACTGCCTTTGCCTGAGAGTTAAGGAACCAAGTCTGCATGCAAAGTCAGATCGACAAATCTGATGTGCAAACGAAACTCCAAGTTCTAGAAAAAGACGTGGACCTATGTCCTGAACTTTCCACCGGTGTTTACAGTTGATGAAGACCCAGAATAAAAATGTACTCTTGATTACCATTTTCTTGTGTGGTTTTATCAATTTATTGAGGTCTTTAATGTGTTCTCAACTTTGTTTGACAGTTTCGGTGGCGGCACTGGATCTGGTTTCACCTCACTGCTGATGGAGCGCCTGTCTGTTGACTACGGCAAAAAGTCCAAGCTGGAGTTCTCTGTGTACCCTGCTCCTCAGGTATGTTATTTCTACAAGCTTTATTACACAGGTTATTCGCATTGATTTTTTTTTCCTTGTAGGTTCCGGTGCCCTTTGATGGGGGGGGGGGGGGGGGGGAGACAAACTCACTAGCTCCCTAACAAGCATGTCATAAGAATCTAATTAGGGGATTCCTTTGTGTGCATTTGCCTAAGAAGCATCAACCCGCATTCTGCCTACAAATAAGCCAGATCTGTAAAAATGGACCTGCTCCCATCCAGGAGTTGGGACATTGTAGATAGAACGGTTTCCTTTCAAGTCATTGTGCATTTCCCTTGGGCAAAGAGCCATGTGTCTCCACACATATGCAAGATCTGTAGAATAGATGAGCATGCAAAACTTTAAAATTTTGGAATATGTGGTCTAGAAGTGGACGAAAGACTTTATGCTGGCGTTTACAGCCATTCAGTGTTGAAGAAAAAAAGAAATGACTTATATAACTAGTGGATGAGGAAGTCTGTAGGCTGTTTACTCTTGACTTCTAAAGCCGTAGCCCATAATGAATAAAATGTTCAATATATGGAAGATAGAGCAGGACGTGACATTCAACATATGGAAGTAAGGTTAAACAGAGCAGTACTTGACAATTTCTTGGGTGTGCCCAGAACCATGCATTGGCTCTGCATTTATGGAAGGCTTCTTGGATGGCTAGGAATGCTCATGTTCAGCTTCTGCCTTCTCTTGAGGGCTGATCAGTATTATGTGGCTTCTCTGGATCGGTCTGATGTAGGGCACCACCTGTGACTTGGGAAACACAGATGACCACACAATGATGAGACTGCAATGCTTCACGATACCAAACCCGATCAAAACAAATGCCTGCAGGAGTCAGATATGTTGAACGAACGGCCGAAATATCGTAGCCATGCTGTAAACGGACAATGCAATAACATTTTTGGATAAACGCAGAAGAAATCTGAAATCTTTATTAAGCCACTGTATTCGGCTTGGCAGTCTAGTCTTTTCAATATAGCCTGCTCAAAATAATGCACTTCTAGAGTTCTAAACAGAAAGCAAGACAGCACTCTGGAATTGCATTGTTTTGGGCAAGATGTATTGAAAAGAGGGTACAGATTGCCAAGCTGCGTAGAGCGGCTTGATAAAGATTTACGATATCTTCTGTGTTTATATACTGGTCTGGAGTAGAGGCTGGGCTGTATTCTAGCTGCTGATGTAACATGACTGGTCTTCTTCTCTTACCTTGTAACTCAGCGAAGTGTTGGGGGGAGATGTAACATTCGTTGTGCTCTGTCAAGAGCACTATTAAGACTGATGTTCATTTCTGTAAGGCTGTTCTTAATGCCATCAGTCCATATTTTCCGAGGTCCTACACTCGCTCTATACCCCTTTTAGTGTGGCAGATAGTACCAGGGCATTCTTGTTAGGTGTCCAAACCACTTCATTTGTTGTTCCTTGATGACTTGTGAGACTGGCTTTATTCCTAGCATTCGTCTGATTTCATATTCTGTCTTTCTTTGAAACTCCTGCAGCTCTTCTATGACATTTAATCTCTATTGTCACAATTTTACATTAATTAGAGTATCCAAGTTTGGCACTGATAGCATAGTGTTGGCCAAAAAATAGTTCTGATAAGATTCATTTAAGTACTCTACAGAATCTGCTTGTGTGTGAACAGGGGAGATAAGTTGCCCCATTACTTGGTTAGCGTTGTCACATCTCGAGCAAATAACTAGTGCCATTACAAAGCTTGTGTGGGACCGGCCAACACGGTAACCTTGGGGCAAGCTTTATATGGTGTCTCTAGTTTGTGGGTCATTCAGCAGGATATTGACAAAATTCTGTTTGTCCTGCTATTCGGGCTCAAACCCAAGATCTCTGTTAGCTTCTCAGTGTTTTAAGTGCATAGCCTTCTTGTTTAGATATATACAGTTGTGTAATGTTCATCCCTGTCTGCTACAGGTGTCAACTGCTGTAGTGGAACCTTACAACTCCATTCTGACCACCCACACCACCCTGGAACACTCTGACTGTGCTTTCATGGTCGACAACGAGGCTATCTATGACATCTGCCGCAGGAACCTGGATGTAGAGCGCCCGACTTACACCAACCTCAATCGTCTGATTGGCCAGATTGTCTCCTCCATTACTGCTTCTCTCAGGTTAGCTTGTGTTTCAGTTGTACCTGTTATCACATTTCCAGTCTGTCTTGGCATATTTTTATTTGATTAGAGTGGAGATATTCGTAGACTGGGTTAATTAGATATTCTAGATTTTAATGACTGTTTAGCCTTCTGAGGCTTGGTTTTCTAGTCAATAATTAATTGTGTGCTTATACATTATTTACACTTTTCTATGAAAATTGTCTTTAATTTCTAGTATATTTATAGTTTTTTATAAGATCCTGAACACTTCCATTATTGTTGCACTAACAGCTCCATGAATCTTGAGACCTGCTAGCAGTCAAACTCAAAAGGATCGGACTTTTCTGAAATGGCTATTCAACTGTCTAATCCGCAGAGGTGGTCCGCTGATGATGATGATCTTTCTATGCTTGGGCCTTTGACCTGCAACTATCCCAGTTTTCCAACATTTGGGCCCCTGTGTAGGCTTAGTTGAAAAGCCAGCCCTAAAAGATCTCGTCTAGCAACAACGCACTTTTCATTGAGGTGAAATACAAACATTTCTTCAGTACATGTAGTAGAAACGGTTAACAACCAAAGTTTGAAGGTTCCTGAAATGTTCAGCTTGAGGGCTAATATCCATAAGATGATTCTGAAGATCAATCTTTCTTTGTGTTCACTGGCTGTGTATTGCGGCGGGAAATCCTGTTTGTTCATCCATTTGGACTTACGACTACCAGGACATGAGTTTTGCGTGTACATCTCTTTTACTGGCTTGTTCGTGTGCAGTTCTTGTTCCCTGCCTCTCGGGTAGATGTACTCCGACTTTAAGGGAGTGTGGATCAGTAACTGCAGTTTTTACTGATTCCTGGCCGCATTTTTTTTTCCCTCTGGATGAAGTAATGTTTAATGCAGCTGAAATGTAAAATTTGCACTAAATTCTTCTGGCTATTTCTTCGTCAGGTTTGATGGTGCTCTGAATGTTGACCTGACCGAGTTCCAGACCAACTTGGTTCCATACCCACGCATCCACTTCCCTCTGGCCACATATGCCCCAGTTATCTCCGCTGAAAAGGTGAGATTTATTTGCGTGTTGCTCCCTTTCTTAATTAAAAAAAAAAATTATTTTTTTTTTGGATAAAAATATTGCAGCATTTATCAGGGAACAGTGAACGCGAAGAAACTGAATCATTGCAGTTTTGCAAGATAAAAAGTCGTAACAGAAACACTGTAAAGGGACAGTGATCGTAAAGAAACGGAATCATTGGACACAGTTTTGCAAGATAAAAGTCTATAAAGAGCCTGCTTAGAGTTCAGTCTTCTGACTGGGACCCACATGCTTGTAGCTTCAAAACAGATTACCGAGCATGAGGCACACAAAGTGAAAGATGGATTAATCTTGAGATGCTCAGTTAGCCAGCATGACACTAAAGCTGACACTGCAGGATCCCTATCTTGCAGGCTTGTCTAAACTGGTGCAGATAATAAAACAGTTCTTTTGGTTGAACCCTGTTGCCCCAGGAAACCGTGTACCCAGGATTTCTGTCATTGCCACATCCCCACTAAGACTGCGAATGGCATGTCTATAGTGACCTAATGCCATTGGTTCGGATTGCATGAATACATATATATATATATATATCTGTGTGTAAGTAAGTAATAAGGTAAAGATCCCTTTTCACGCCTTGGGCGCATCGGGTATTAAGGAAGAGGGTCTCATATTTTTACAGACCAATTGGCACTGGATGGGTAATGTGGTCAGCATTACGCCGGCCGTCTACTTTCACAGGACAGCCATCCTGATACCCATTTTAGGCCGGGTCGGCCTGAGATGCCAAAAACCATGATAAAATCCATGCAGCTAGTTTTGATCGCTGTACGCTGGGTTACAAGTCGGACTCGCAACGCCTAAGCCACAGACGCCGCATATATATATGTATGTATGTATATATATTGCTGCCATTACACTAAATTTATGAAGAATGTATTGTTTTACTTTATCTGTGTGTATATGTATATCAGGAATGTCCATGGGTTCATGACCTTTAAAAACTTTTTGTTTTTTGTTTTAGCGTTCGTTGAATGAAAGGTTTTAGCATAAAATTAGCCTGTGCAGCGTAATATTAATTCACTGACATGTAAATTGTTTGATTCCACCAGGCATACCATGAACAACTGTCAGTTGCCGAGATCACCAACGCTTGCTTTGAGCCTGCCAACCAGATGGTGAAGTGCGACCCCCGCCACGGCAAGTACATGGCCTGCTGCATGCTGTACCGTGGTGATGTCGTCCCTAAGGATGTCAATGCTGCCATCGCCACCATCAAGACCAAGAGAAGCATTCAGTTTGTGGATTGGTGCCCGACGGGATTCAAGGTAAAAAAAATTTTAATTTCCTCAGTCTATTAATGGTGGCATTGTTTTTACTTATTTGGTCGATCCATCTTCTTTCTACCTTGGGGTGTAGAAGTTTGCCAAACTTCTCTGTCAGCAGTTTTGTTCCATTCAGGTCCTCTGTCAGTCAGGGACTGTCAAATGTCTGGCCAGTGAGCCCTAGGTGGTCTGGTTCTTGGCCTCCCATGGCATTTTTTTTTTCTTAGGATAGAGATATCAGAATTTGCTATCATACTGTTGCTAGTCATAGGACCAGTCTGTTTTTCTCATCCCAGTTGTCTTGCGTCGTGTGTCTGGAACCCTATTGGGGGGGGGGGGGGGCACTGCATTCCCCCCTCCACAAGCATGTCATAAAAGCTGACTAGACTATTTAGGGGTTTCCTTCAAAGTTGGAGTTTGTCTGCTTGAGAGGCGAGCAACCAACACTGCCTACAAAAATAAGCCAGACTATCACGCATGTGCCAGCAGAACTTGAGATAGTCCTCCAGGCCATTGTAGGCCCTCAACAGGACAGTGTCATCTACCAAGTGAGCATCAGAATGGTGTCTAGAACATGACCTCAGGTTCGGAAGAGGATGAACAACCAGAGCTTACCGCCAGAGTTAACAGCTGATGAATGCAAAGAAGGCGAAGTCTGCTTTTCATTATGGCTTTCTATGGAGTTAGCTAGCCTAAAAATTTATGGCGTCACATTATGTGAAAGCGTTGTCATCATGTTTACTGTCTTATCAATTGACCAGGTGGGCATCAACTACCAGCCCCCAACTGTGGTTCCTGGAGGCGATCTGGCCAAAGTCCAGCGGGCAGTGTGCATGCTGAGCAACACCACGGCTATCGCTGAAGCCTGGGCTAGATTAGATCACAAGTTTGATCTCATGTATGCCAAGAGAGCTTTTGTCCACTGGTAAGTAGTAGAAATGCTTTCCTACCTGCGTAACTTCTCTTGCATTGTTCGTGTTTGTGTTTCTGGCAGCCCATATTATGTTTTAAATTGGGTAAAGCATATACCACATTGTCAAGTTACTGTACATCTGTCCATCAGAAATTCAAGTTTAGTTACATGATTACCGTGGAAAGAAAATTGATCACCTGATCTTTTTGTTTACATAACCAAGGAGAGGTGAGTTTTATTGAAACTGCCTGACCACTTTTAGCAAACTATTTAATGTGGTGAATATTCGTGAAGGCATAATGCTTAAGAGCGCAAATGACGTCCTATCAAAAAGTTGGGTTCTCACTTTTTGGTTTATCTAGGATCTCCACTTATTTGTGTGCGGAGCCATTTAGGGATGTTTGTTCTGCCATTTTGTTTTCAGGCTGTTTCTCCGCTAAACCGATAGTCAGCTGACACTTACTCCTGTTATACAGACTCCCTAGATTACATAAGGCTTGGAACACCTCTAAAACTGATGGTTTCTGTGATTAAATCTGCCCAGTATCGATTGGCTAGAAGGTTTAGCTGCAGTACTAAGGCCCTGGTACTATCTGCCACTGAGCCACACTAAAATGTTACAATGGGTATAGAGCAAGTAGAAGACCTATAAAAATATGGAGTGATGACATTGAGAACAGCCTTACAGAAATGAACATCAGTCCTAATTGTGCTCTTGACAGAGCTGAAAAAGGTTAGAGGTTAGTGTATTAGGAGAAATTATCAGAAATCATTAGTACTCGGAAGTAAAGGAAAATGACCAAAACTTGCTGAGGTTGGTTCTGCCACGTCCTGTACAGATAAAACAACAAACTTAGAATAGTTTGCATGAAGAAGAAAAAAGACTGAAATTGGATATCCCAGCAGGTATTTGGCTCTCCTCCCTTACTGGCTTGACAGTTTAGTGTCAGCATTATAGGCTGTTACTTACGTTGAGCGTGTGTATCTTTGTTTGCTTGTGGTTTCTCTGTGAGGCTCATTTGTTGTGTTTCTTCACCAGGTATGTTGGTGAGGGTATGGAGGAAGGAGAGTTCTCTGAAGCTCGTGAGGATCTTGCAGCCTTGGAGAAGGATTACGAGGAGGTTGGTGTTGACTCCACAGATGTTGAAGCTGGAGAAGGGGATGAATACTGAACACATTCCTGTCACAGTTCCCTTCTGAATTCCAAATTTACATTTTTTTTTTTTTTTGTTAACTGCAAAATTTTTTGTAACGCTTGAACATAATTTACGAATTTTGTCAAAAAGTTTAGTGTTTAGTTTCAGGGAATAAACAGTGCATTTTGAGTGTTGTTTTTGTGTTTTTTGAGGCCTGTCTGTGACTTGTTTATAGTTTTCACAAAACCGATATAGCTATGTTTAAAGTCAGCTGCAGGTTGGGTTTAACCTATGGCAGGATGACCAGATACTGGACAAACAAATCCCCTAGTACAAGTCTACCAGTAAATAATTTTATTGTAACTTTAGAAAGGCTTTAGGTTGGGCATAGAACCTTTAAAAAAACAAAAACCTGGGACAGACACTTGCCTGAAAATCATTGGTTCAAATCTAAATGTAGCTAACTTTCCTTTGTCTTCAAAATAACCTTAACTGTCATGTAGACTCGGCTTTTAATGGCTGTCACGTAAAATTCTGGGAAGTCAAGGTGGTTGGTGTTATGTTAACCAAATCACATTCCGATTGGTCCATAAAATTGTCTTACATGCCTGAAGGAAAGTATGGTGGAAAAGTATTAACTATTGTGTCTTTGAGTCCTGTGATCTGGTACTATAACACTGTCCATGCATGCCTGGGTAAGTTAATAAAGTAAGCCCATGTCAACGTGAACTCATTGCCTCTGCAAACAACTGTGTAGAGATAGTGTATGGATAATGGAAATATACTGTTTATTAAAATCATCAAGTGCCTTGCCGACTGGCAACTGCATGTATCAGTGTGTTGACCCCTTCATGCCATGACAAAAGACTGTCAGGAATCTTCTTGTGCTGTCTTCCTCTTGTCTCTCTTTCCAGTGGTCACATGTTCCAATTTCCCCTCTTCTCATACATAACCTGACAAAAAAATTGTGACTTTCTGTTTGTGATAAGTTGTCTTTAAGCTGTCGCCTCTTTTAAAACACCTGGGTTGCTCTTAGCTGTATAAGCTATGCTAATGATTCTTCTGTAAAACCACATTCCCGAGGCCTCAAGATATTTTTCGGCTTGTTTATTATTGTCCAGGCTTTACAGCTGCATGTTAAAACGTTCTATATAGCTTTGAGAATATTTTTCCTAACCTCCAATGACATTGATTTTTTGCACAAAATAATTTATTTTATAACATGCAGTTTTGGCCTCTCCTATACTGTTCTCTGTGTCAGCGATTACATCTTCCATTAGATGTTATCCTCGTGCCTAGATACCGAAATTTCTGTACTTGTCATAAAATAACATCCTTAAATTATTATTATTATTCATTTAGGCATAGTTCTTGGAATTCACTATTTTGTCTTTCCATTATTCAAATAGGCCCATTTAATCCCTTTCTACATCCACTTCTTCACGTTCACCAGCTATAAGCTCTGGCGGAAAGTTGTGGTTGTTCATCCACTTATGGACTGGTCCTCTTCCAGAACCTGATTGTTGCATGTGCATCCATTTTACAGATCTGACTCATTTTATGCAGACTGCTGGTTCCTTGCCTCTCATGCAGAGGCACTCTGACTTTAAAGGAAGCTCCCAATTAGTTTACTTTTGGGGGCAATGTTTATGGGTAGGCAGTGGGTCTATTCTTGTTTTCACTATAACAGGGCCCCGAAACCCACTCAGGGAACTATGAATTCCTGTAAGTGCTCTGTGTCATCAGCATAAGGCAGGTGGTTAATTTTATGACCACCAACCACAATTCCTGGCATATCCATGACAGATCTCATTAATTATTACCTGGAAAATAAAATAAAAAAGCAGGTGATAGTATGCATCCTTGTCTTTATGCTCTGAAATGTTCCCAAATGATTATTCTTATAGCTGCTGTTTGCTGCCAATACATGTCTCTAAATGTAATTCTTTAAAAAAAAAAAAAAAAAGTTAGGACCCTTTAGGTATATAGGGCTAGACGATATATAGACCAATCAGCATCATGCCGACCACCTTTACTCGGCTTGGAGCCAAAGGTCATATTCGAAAAGCTTGGCTCAGCTAGACTGAGGCTCTAAACTGTAGTTAGCTGATGCTTATATCCAGCACTGGTGATAGGATTCAGTTGCCGCGCTATAACCATCATCATCATGTGGCAGGTCCTTTACAGAACGTCACACTCATCATGGTCTGCCTAAAGGAAGCTCTCCACTCGTGTACTTTAGATTCTTCTTTGCGTTCGGTTTCGTATGCTCAGATCAGAACTTTTAGATTCAAGAAGTCACTTATATCCTGTGCCCATCTTCCTGTTGGTCGGCCCCTGCCTCTCATTCCTGGTACCATGCCTTCTGTAATTTTTTTTTTTGGGTCCAATCTGCGATGGAGATGATAGGACAACAATTTCAGCTTCTGAGACAGGATGCTTTTTATTGGCCAATCTTCCTGGATCTGAAAGCTTTTCGACTTCATTTTGATAAGGGCGGGTCAGTAAATGATGTGAAGAATGAAATGTTGAAGTAGAGTTGGCCTGATTCAGGAACTGGCATTTCCATAAACACCCACTCCTTATCTTCAGCAGCCAGCGCAGAGTTCCATAACAGTGGTGCCAGTAGTAGTCTATATATTAGGGCTGTACCGAATAGTGATTTTCATTATTCGGCCTAATACGAATAGTGGACCAACTATTCGGCCGAATACGAAGTGTATCATTATCATCAGGTACCTTGCCGACTGGCGTGAGCGATCATGCCTCTCCACAATCTGCTATCTCCTGCAGCATGTATCAGTTCGTGTGCTTAATGCAACAAGACTGTCAAGAATCTTTTATTGTTGTCTTCCTCTATCCCTCTTTCCAGTGGTCACCAAATGTTCCATTTTCCCTCTTCTCATAACATGGCTGAAAAATGACGACTGTCTGTGATTAGTGTCTTCGGGCTCCCACCTCTTTCAAAGAGTTCAATGTAATTTAAACGTACCTTCATATTCTCGTTAGCAATATCTTCAAATTTGATTTGGGCGAAGACACCCCGAAAGAACGAAAAATGCATATCATCTCTCTCTCACACACACCGCGGTTGGCATTTTATGCAGTTTGTACCAGGCAACCAAGTGGCAGTTTCCACCGCTAGGACAGACTTAGGCAACAGCAAGTATTGCGTTAATGAGAGAATTATTTCAGTCCATCACAGTGTATGCAGAAACGGGAGTAGGGTAACCACTATTCGTATTCGGCCGAATAGTTAATAGGTCCACTATTCGGCCCCGAAGCGAATATTCGATATATATATATATATATATATATATATATATATCCCCTGGTCTCGAGGCATGGTGTCCACCTCGAGTGCTGGAGGTCCTGAGTTGAAGCCCAAGTGAACGATGGTTCCTTGCCTCTCAGGCAGATGGGACGATGCACTCTGACTTTGAATTAAACTCACAATTAGTCGACTCTTACGGCATGCTTTTTGGTAGGCAGTGTGTCTATTCTTGTTTTCCCTATAATAGGGCCCCGAAACCCACACGGGTAAATTCAATAGTTATTCGCCATGCTATGGGATGCATTGCACAGATAACACCTTTAGCAGTATACACACCAGCACAGTTCACTAACCTTCGAATTTTACTTGTAAAGGAATTAAACTTTAAAAGTAGCCCAAAAATTGATCAATAGCTAATGCAAATGTTGAAACATTTTTGACACTCCCCCACAGGCCATAAAGCCAAATTCACTATGTTGCCATGGACGCCAAACACCTTAGCTACGCCACTTCCTGTAGTCTGTAGAGCTAGATTTCTTCTCTGTGACTGGCAAAATAAGACAACGGTTCTAAAACTGTGGGTTGCGTCGGGGATCGAACGAACCTTTCACATAAGACCATCGGAAACCATGTTCGCTTGAGTTATGAAACCGCTGACTGTATCGTTCCAATTTTAGTATATGTACTGCGTGAACAGTACGATGAAACTGCTTTTAAACGTTAGGTTATATTACGGCGCCCAGCAACAGCCATGGTGGTATAATTAGCAAGACCAATTCAACATAGGTGTGGTCTGAGTTCAGTGTCCCGTTTTGCGTCTCAAAATGTACGTCTGGGCATTTCGGCGAAGCCTATGTATATTGTGTTTGGTAATTTTTATTTCGTCCAGTTTGCCGGTATGGACTGCATGAAGAGTGTTTTGTGCCTATTTAAAGCTCTGAGATGTGTGGGGCTGCTCTATATTCCAAACAGTCATTGCAAGTTTGTCTGCCCTTTCACTTACAGAAGTGGTAGGCAGGCGTTGTTGAAAATGAGAGAGCTGATAGACTGGCAGGTGCTGCATTAATTGAAGATGGCCGGTCCATGAATCAGGCAGACATTGTCATTGCCCTTAGAGAGATAGGCGATCTGAGGATTTTGGAAGCAACATGTCCACATCACTGCTAAGAATACGCGAATTGGGAGTAATAATCGGCACAGCCAAGCATGCGATGCACACTGGACGCATACGAAGTCTTGTTAACCAACATAAGACTGGTACTATTAACCGCACGACGCTGATGAATATGTTGAGAGGGGAATCTGAGCGCCTATGAGAGAAGTGGCTCCCAACACTTCCTAATACCGCGACCCTTTAATAAGGTTCTCCCATGATGTGGCGACCCCTAAACACTTATTTTCATTCATAACTTTGATGAATAAATGTTTTCCGATGGTTTTAGGCGACCCCTATGAAAGGGTCGCGACCGGCAGGTTGAGCGCCATTGGCTTACAGGGATATCTCAGTGGGGGTTATATCTACTAAAAGACTCGTTCTGTTCTTGTCGACAGCATTCTGATGTTGTTTTTGATTTCGCAGATGACGCGATCCTATTTGGGGCATGAAATGGCCGGGAGGACAGATTTCGAGTCACTGAATAATGCAGTTTTATTTTTTTTTCAATTCTGTTCAATTGCTGAGTACCTGGATAGTTGCTTTTGCTTTGAAGTTGGTGCAAGTTTCTCCTGGCACTACGGCGTGCACCGCTGTCTTGCCATTTGA